CAAGCATTACTCAAGTCTTTCAGATTGAAAGAAAATATGTCTACAAAAATAATTTTTTTAAAAGTTTTTCAATATGTAGCCCCAAATAGGATAATTAATTTGAAGTCAAGAAATAAAATTATTTAAAAAGTTATATTCTGAAACTACTTTGTAGTGTTGTGAATTAAATTTGAACTAAAAAAATTGAGATAAAATTAGAATGAACTGTCAATATCCTAATTTTCTTTCACCATAAGATGATATGACAATTAAATTTTAAAAAATTAATCATATCTATATAATTTATTATTATTAGTATCATCATTATGTCAAGTGTCATCTTGTTTTATTGCTCAGCGGGAAAAGAAAAGAAAAACGAGGAAAGAATTAAAACGACGCCGTTTGCCGAAAATAAAAAATTCTCAACAACATCAAGGGCTTCTGGTTTCCGAAAAGTACTTTAGTGTATTTTGTCTTTTGATAAACTTTAAATTATAAAAAAATTTAAAAAGACAAAAATTAATAAAAATGAAATAATTATGTTGATCTCATTTAATTTACATACATTATGAAGCGGGTGCTTTACATCTTTTTACTTGTAATATCTTGAACCTACCATGGTTTTATATAAGATTTGAAGGACCAAAAACTAAAATGGAATTGGTCGTGGATGCTGTGAGGAGATTGTATACAGACATAATCAGTTCCGGGTAAGAGCACTTCTCACAGGTTTATGCTAAAGAATTTAAAGAAACAAATTTTCTACCACGATAACTCTTAATGCTTGTAATCTGAGTCCCCTTTTCATTTTGACTTTCTAACACGTGTAAAGGCATAAAATATCTCATCTTTGTAATAAAAAAACAATTACCCAAGAATTCCTTGAGTGACAATCCACTAACACATAAGTATATTGATGATGACCATTCATGCTTATGGTCCTAGTAAGGCCGAAAAAATAAATAGGAATGAGTTTGGCTGCCTAGTAGTGACAACATTTTTAAATTTAAAGCATGTTCTTGTTTGTTTAGCTAGTTGGCAAGCTTTACAAACTTTGTCTTTTTCAAAATTTATCTTAGAAAATCCTTTAACTAATTCATTTTTTGATAGTTTTAAAATTTAACCATGTCCCACTTTGTCACACACAATTCTTTGGTTTTCCAATCCTTTGAACAAACTTGGTAAGTGTGTCATTCTATTCTAACTTTCTTTTTCAATGCAATACTTTCGTCCATCAAGTTGCATTTTCTAACTCATTTATTTTTGTTTTTTATTCATCATTTTCTCTTTTTAAACCTTCCACATCTTTAGAAAGAGATGATGTATGTTTCTTAAACATAACATTTTTTGCATCCAATATCATTTATTCATCATAATGTTCTTCAAATGCATCATATAAACCATCACAAGACTAGTCAACATGGGAATATGCCTCATTTTATCTTCATTAATGGCCATGAGGCACAAGTTTAGGACTCCATTTTCTTCCTCTTCACTCGAGCTCTTCTCATCGTTTTTACTCCATGTAGCTAACATTGCTTCTTTTTGAACTTTTTGGAGCTTCTTTTAGCTTAAGAGCAATAGATTATCATTGATGTGGAACACAAGATCAACTAGTGTGATTAAAAACTTCACATATATTTTAGTATTTAGAATTTTTAAACTCTCAACAAACCATCACTACTTGACCTATAGTCAACACGTAAATGTCAATCAAGGTAATTGGGATGAAGATTTGAATTGATTAAATGCCACAAGATGGATTCTTAACAAGTGAAATCAATTTAAGATGGATTGACAAAATGTCATAAGAGTTTACCTTTATTTTCCGACATTGGGCAAGAAAGTGGAAGACACCCTCTCAATGAGCACTCACAAAGCTTGAAGCTTGTAAATAAACTTGAAATTATTATTGATTGGGCTTGTAAATTACAAAGGGGTGGTGGCCTCCTTATATAGAATTGTCATCACTTATTCTACTTGAAAACTAATTAAACAATTCTAAACAAACTCTTAATTCTAGCTGAAAAAGAAATATATTAAAAAAAAAAATTTAATGCAATTAGGAAAACAAAAACTTAGTTAAATATATAAGCTTAATTTAAAAGATAAAGCTCCTCTCTTTAGGCGGGTTCAAGACTTCTACTGGGATCTTCCCTTTGGACTTTCTTTTGATCTTGATCTCTTGTTTGTTTCTTTCAATTTGATTGCAAATTTCAATTTGATTGCAAATTTCAATTTGGAAACTAATTCCTTTTTGCATACTGAAGACATCTTTGCATATGAGAGTTCGGGTGGGAGATGAACTCTCATGGTCAAATCTCCTTATACTCTTAGTTTGCGGTTTTCTTCTCCTATTTGATTTCTTTGTGTTGAAATCATGTAAAACTCTTTTTTCCTTTGAATTGTAATTCGACATGGATCAAGGTCTTTAAAGGGGACTCGGGATTGGAGAAGAAGGTTGATGTTCCTGATAATTGTGTATTTTATACACAATCATGATTTTTTTTTATTTAGTTTTTGTTAGTTTTGAGTAATTTTAATTATTTTTTCATTTGATTTTAGTTTATTTAGTTGATTTAGTTTATTTTATGAATTTTAGGTATTTTGGGATAATTTGAAAAGTTTTGCATGAAGGCACAAAAGAGCAAAAACCTGCACTGGCAGATGCATGCTCATGCAAGTGGTGATGCACATCAGTCATGGAAAATCTCCACAGAGAATTTTAAAGGTAGAAATTTACATGGTCATGCAAATGGTCATGCGTGGGAAAAATAGAATTTTTACTTTTCCTAAATTTCTTCGGATGCCTTTTTTTTTCCCCTATTTTACTTAGGATTTGTATTTAGGATATTCTGTTATTTACTCTAGTATATATAGGACATATTATGAGTATTCTAAAGAGTTGCAATTTTTTATTTAAAAGATTGTTCTAAGTTAGAGAGTTTCTTCTTCTTCTTCTTGAAAGACTAAAAACTCAATTGGAGAGGGATCAAGCTCAAGACGAAGACACAATTCGGAGTTTTATTTTATCATATTTTCTTTTAGTTTCTTCTTGGAAGACTAAAAACTCCATTAAATAGGAGATCAAGCTCAAGACGAAGAACAATTCAGAGTTTGGTTTTCATTTATCATATTTTCTTTTAGTTTTAGTTTTGCTCTCTAGATTTAATTATGGAGTAGATTTCTTTTATTAGGAAAAATATGAACCCTAAACTATGATGGGTATTGATTTCGATTAATGATATTTGAGTTAGTTTTATGCAAATTCATTGAGCTTAATTCTTGTATTGATATTTTGATTATTGAATTTGTTAATAATGTGTCGAATAGAGAAGTTAGGGTTTCTAATCAATGGGATTTCAATGTATGATTATTAGTATTTTGTATAATAAGTTTAATAACATATTTGTTGGCATAGATAATATGAAATTGACTTGTGGCATGTATTCGTGTTCCTGAATAATGTCCGATAATTAAGTTGATTATATGCAGATTTTTATGCAAGTGTCTGAATAAAAATTTCATTTAAATATGAAAAGTTATATCCCTGAATAAGGTTAACCAAGTTTTATAATTAACCCACCAATCTTAACTCAGATTTCATTATCAATATTGATATCTAAACAAGTTTAGGG